ACGCCCCGCCGACCGGCTGGCCCGGCCTGTCTAGAACGGGTGAAGTCACCTGAGTCACCGCGGGCAGAGCAGGGCTCGCGGGGAAGTAGGCGTCCCCACCCCCCGCCGTGCAGAGCCGCGGCCCGGGAAGGACTCGCCAGCAAGCTCAGCGCGGGTCGGAGGCCGCGGGGGTGAGCGCCTGGCTCTGAGACGCCGCGCCCGGGTTCTCGGACACGGGATTGGCCGGCGCTCTGAACATTTACCCGAGCAAAATCACGCAGATCCCGCCAGAACCTCAGGCGTCTGGATTTTTCTCCAGGTCCCCAAAGTAATGAGTCTAGGGTGAGGGGGTGTGCGGCCTGCCCTGAAGCAGGAAGATGACTAGGCCGGTGAACGGCTTTTAGAAGTCAAGGGTAGAGTGGGGGAAATCTCTGGAAGACCTGGCTTTGCACTCTGTGAGACCTAAAACCATAACTTCCACCTTCCCCAGCACCAACTACAACAGCCATACCAGGAGTGCCCGGTTGCACAAATAAAAACACAGGGTGCCCAGTTAATACTGAGTTCACATGAACGGCGGATACTTTCTTGGTTTTTTATGGCCTGTCTTGGGGACATACTTTATACTTTAAAGTTCCTGCGGGCTGGGGAGATGTGGCTCAGTGGGTAAATGCTTGCTCTGCAAGTGTAATCCCCACACCCAATAAAGAGCCTGGCATGGCTGGAGTGGCTGTAACCCATCCTTGAAGGTAGGGATTCAAGCGGAGTCCCAGACCCTGGCCAGCCAGCTCAGCCTAAACAGGGGGCCTCCGGTTCAGCTAGAGACCCTGCGCCAAGGAAGCAGGGTGAGAAAAGAGGAAGATGTGGAAGTCTTGCTCTGGCCTCTTCAAGAGCATTCAGCATGCATGCAATACACATACATGTCCTGTTTATCTGTAATAACTGGGTGTCTCAGTGTCTGGCCACTGCAATAAACCCAGGGTTTGGCAAGGAAGGAGGTAAAGCGTGAGCTCTGCTCAGGGACAGTCAGACCAAGGGCGGGGGCGCGGGGGGGGGGGGGGGGGGGGGGGGGGGGGGGGAGATGACACGACTCTCGTGTGTTTCTAAATGACCCCCGTGGGTACTAAGGTGGGTTCGTTGTCCTTTATACCCAACCCCTTTTACAAGTGCACAGTGTTCATCTGAAGACACAAAATAAAGACAGGTTTAACTATGTGTAAATCAGAAACATTGGTTTAAGAGAAAATGTCCAAGATTTAAGCATTGCCAGAGACACAGCTCAGCAGGGGGGCCTTGCCTCACCTGCAGAAGACCCCCCCCCCCCCCCCCAAAAAAGGAAGACTAAGCAGCGAACTGAGGAATGTGCTTTCAGGAACATTCGAAGTGTCTCTTTTTATTGCACATAGATTTAACGAGTTGATGAAAACATTAGAATTCAATTGCAAACAGACAAGAGATTTGAGTGTGGCAATGCATTATGGTAACGTTATTTTATATTCTAAGAGACTGGAAACTTTGCTGGGCCTCACAGCCTAGCTAATAATACACACTGGGGTCACTTAAGACTGATAGCCCACTGTGTCCTCAGCCTGTTTGTTTAACCGCCTTTAAGAGAACAATGTAACAATCAACTTCACTTGCCTTGGCTTTCCTGTGTAATCAACTTTTACAATCTAAGCTAATGCGTAGCTATAACCTTAAATTATGTGCTCTTCCATGCCATGATCCAGAGTATTGTATGTGTATTCTAATAATCATTTGCTGAAAACAGCAGAAATAGGAGTTAAAAGCAGTCCTGTAAAATGAATAGTCACCATTTAAGTGTTGAATACAACTTTGGGATATTGCTTGTTCACTGTTTGTTGTCTGGGTCAGTTGGAGCCAGTGACTTAATCCCTTGTAAAATCTGTTAAAGATTTCTGCATAGTGTCCCCCATTTCTTCCCCGTGTGGTAAATACAGAACAAAGCCCTTTGTTAGGGACAGACACACATGTACCCTTCAGGCAGGCACAGAATCAGACAACAGACAGAGGACACAGAGAGCATGAGGTAGAGAAATCAAATCTGGACTCACTCTTGGTTAAACGACACAGAGGAGACATGCTTTGATTTCATCCCTTAACGTGACACAGACTCACACACTCGGAGACTTTTGTGTGAGTGTTCAAACGGTCTGCATTTTGGTGCCCCATGCTGGGGATCTTTAATGCCTTTAATCCATGTGTTTGCATTGATTGTTCACTAAAAAATAAAATAAGAGGAAGAAAGTCAATCAGGACACAAGGATTCCACAAGGCCCAAAGAAATGCATGATGCACTGGCCTGGTAACCAGGCTTAGGATCTCAGCTGAGGTAGGAGAATCACAAGTTTGAAACCTGGGTATGAAGTGAGTTCAAGGCCAGCCTGGACAATTAAGTGAAACCGTGTCTCAAAATGTACAAGTAACCTGACCATGTATGAGAGCTTCTAAATTCCCATTTGTGTTCTCTTAGGAGCTGCTGTTCAGATGCATTTCCAGGTGTTACTTTTCTCTTCTGATCAGTACTGGAAATAACTCAGGGCTCTGATTTTGCACATTTCTGCCTGTTCGATTATTTTCATTGAATTTCATTTGATTTTGATCTTAGGATCCCTTTCATCTTTTGTTAGTTCTCACCATGTAAGTTTAAATCTTCTAATAAAAGTTTGGCAGAAACTTAAAAGTAAAAAACATAAGTGAAAAAGGGCTGAGGATACAGCTGTAGACCTTTTCCTAATGTGTGTGCAAGTTTAACAGGAAAGTACTTGCCTAGCATGTGCAAGGTGCTGGGTTCAATCCTCAGTATCACAGGAAAAGAAAATGGCAACAAATAAGTGATGTTAAAGGTTGGAAGTGTGTGGTCTCACAGTATCCACAAGGAACTGCCAGACGTTGTAGTGGTATTTGCTCCGCCCATGACTTTGGGCTGTCTGACCCGATAGAAGTGATGCTTCTTATCTGCTACTTGACTGTACTCAAAAGGGAGGAGAAAGGGAATCACACTCTCTTGCGTGGTGAAGATAGCATCAGATGGTGTGAAACAACTGGGTTTACCTCATCCTGTATCACGGAGTCTGTTTTCCCCATAGAACCCCTTAATAAATTGATGTATATAGACCACTACTGAGGCTCTCGTTACATGTGTCACCCAACGTGGGGCATGAACACAAGACCCTGAGATTAAGAGTCTCATGCTTTACCAACTAAACTAGCCGGATAAATCTTTCCCGCCTGCTGGTACCTGAATAACCAGTCAGAGGCTTAATATTAATAATATTAATTACAAACTGTTTGGTCTATGGCTCAGGCTTCTTACTAGCTAGCTATTACATCTTAAATTAGCCTGTTTCTATTAATCTCTATTTTGCCATGTGGCCGTGGCATTACCAGTCTGCTGGCATCTTGTTCCTTGGGGGACTGGTTGGTGTCTACTCTGACTCTGCCTTCCTTCTCCCTGTATCTTTCCTTGGATTTCCCACCTGGCTATAACCTGTCTTGCCATAGGCCAGAGTAGCTTCTCGATTAACCAACAGTAGCAACACATATTCACAGCGTACAGAAAGACCATCCCACAGCAAGATGTGTTAGCTCTTTCATCATGTACCTGAGGGAAACTATTTAAAGTAGCTTTTAGACTCAGGATTTCAGTTCACAGTCACCCAGGGACTTGGCTCCGTGTAGTGAGGCAGAATGGCAGGGTAGGAAGCTTGTGGTAGAATGAACTGGAAAACCTCATGGTGGACAAGAGGCACTTGGGGTGGGGTACAGAGGAGGGGGCCAAAGAAGGGGACAAAACATGATAGGGACCCAAGGACATGTCCCTGTGACTGGCTTCTGCATACTAGACCCCGTGGACTGCAGTTTCGAGCAGCTGGAGATCAAGCCTTAAACACATGAGTCTGTGGAGGCAATTCCTATGCAAAGCAGGAATGAGAGAATATCCCATCAACAAATGTGCTGGAACCTGTCAAATCCTTAAGACATTTTAACCTATTGGCTTTGGTTCTATTTATAGGAATAAGTATAATGGGAATAGTCTATCCTATAGAAAAGAGTTTTCAGCTTTATTGAAGTGTAATTGCCAAAACTGTATTATCTAAGGGGTACAACCTGAAGTTTTGATCTATGAACACATTATGAAATGATTGCCACAGTCAAGCTAATTAACATCTATCATCTTGCAGTAACCATTGTGTGTGCTTACGTGTGTGTGTGTGTGTGTGTGTGTGTGTGTGTGTGTGTGTGTGTAATACTTAAGGTCCATCCTCAGCAAATTTCAAGTCCACACTATTTTTCATTTTTTTATTTCACTTTTTTGAGACCCAGACTGACTTTAAACCCAATATGACCCTGAACTCCTGATCCTCCTGTCTCCACCTCCTGAGTGCTAAATTATAGGCGTGCACCTCATGACAGTGTGTTATGAACCACATCACCTTGTGAGACAGTTTATCTTAAATTGCTCAGGTGCTCGATTCCATCACTCGCTGTCAGCCCCCAGATCTACACATCTTTAGAGACTGACCTGACTAGGGTGACCAGGGAATGAAGGAATGGCAGTCACACGGACACATGGACAGGGGGCTGGGGTTGAGTGAACCATGCACTCTCATGGAGATGCACCAGCAGCCCCAGGACTCGGTGGGTTAATTAGCTACCACTGAGTGAGGTTTACTGTGTACAGCAGAGTGAGGAGGCAGACTAGCTCATTTGGGTAGGAGGTCTCTATAGGGAGCAGTCTCAGGCTGTAGATGTCCTGGAGGAGGAAGCTGTGGATGATAGTTTCTGCATTCATTGGTTTTAGTTTTATTCTTCCTCAACACTCAGCTGAACCAGAGGAAGTCTTCGACATTGATCAGTACCTGTCCCAGGAAAGGCTTTGCCACTCCCAGTGGTCTGAGGCGCCGGCACTGGCTCATGTCAATAATGCACATTCACTCAGGACTTCATCCCCTCCCCACAGCTGTCCCCGGTGTTTTTCTCTTGTGTACTCCAGCACTTCCCACTCTTTGAATGTCTCTTGTTTGCATATTTATTATTTATGTCAGCATTATTCAAAGTACTGGAAAGACAATACATTAGTAGATTATAAGACACAGTTAATGGGCCATAGCTAGGCTCAATTTTTAACAAGATGAGAGGGAAGAAAACATGCTACTGGACTTTTATTAAGAATGATGAGTACTGTTGGAAATGGTGCATCTGGTTACAATGAACCAGATAAGAGAGATAATGGGTGATTAGAATGGATTTGATTGACTAGTAGAAGTTGTTCTATAATCTGAAGGCAGACATTCCATCTGGTATAGGGTGTCCACCACTGTAAAGCAGTTGACAGTTAATATTTCATA